ACAGTGAAATTGTTGGTGTACAAATGTGTAATTGATTCAGATCACATGTAAAGTATTGTAGTGCTAGGCTCAGAATAACAAAGCTTTTTAAAGCTGGGCATACAGTGTTCGATATTGTCAATCGTTGCACTTGGCTCCAGTTCAAACTGCGCGACAAAATCGTAACACTTTACGACCCGAAGCTCTTATGTGATCTGACACATTGTACACCCAAAAACGCATGTCGGACAGGAATATGAGGGTCACTGTAGCGCAAAGCGCCGATTTGGCAATTTGTGCAATTTTGTCGGGCAAAAGATCCAAAAGGAAGAGAAGACGGCGTATTTGTACCAGGAAATGGCTGTGTAGACTTGGCCAATATGATCTGTCAATTCTACCCCATGAACTGGAGGTAAGCAGCAACAACTCTCACAGAACTTCATGATGCCCTTGCCTTTTCTGGGTTGTTTAGGGTTACATCAACGTTCAGGCCAGTCAGTTGAATTCAAAAGTGACCTAAATACTACTACTAGTGCATGTTTTGAGAGTGTTGTTAACCGGCTTGTCATTCTGGCAACGTTTACTGCTGTGAGCTAACGTTCCCCTGTCACCAGATATATGGGTGTGATGAAGGCATCAATTTTAATCTGACTGTCTTTTTTTATTCAACAGTACAGTGAACCCTCGCTATATCGCGGTTCACCTTTCACAGTCTCGCTGCTTCACGGATTTGCATCATGCATTGTGTTCTGCATTCTGATTGGCTAAACAGTCTCTCCTCTGTCACGTCTGGGGGAATGTCTGGTGTGATTGTCATGTCTTGATTACCTATTGTCCCTTCCCTCATGTGTTCAAATAGTCCTCGTTTCCCCTGTCCTGTGCCAGTGTGTTTTCGTCACTTTGTGTTCGTGTCCTTTGTTCCTCGCCACGTAAGGTTTTGATTTTTGCACTTTTGCCACTTTTGCTTTTTGTGCCATAGCCTTGTTTTTGTCACAGCCTTGCCTTGCCATAGTCTTCTAACTTAATTTAGTATTTTTGCCATAGTCTCCGCAACTGAGTCCTCCCTTGAGATCCATCTGTCAGACAGGTGGATCTCAAGGGAGGACTCAGTTGCGGAGATAGGTGAAAAGGGGTTTAATTTAACAAAAACACACTCAAAAGGATTGGATGTCAAGACAAAGTTCCAAACAAGGAGACAAAACTATGAACAAAGTATAAAAGCAAGATTTAACATGACTGTGAACACAAAGTATCAAATACAGTAAACAAGGCTATGGCAAAGTATCAAAACAAGACTATTGCAAACATACTAAATTAAATTAAATTCTTCTCTACCTGTGTGTCAATAACGTTATGGTTCAATATGTACACGTTCGTAAAGCCGCTTGTCAAATTTAAGTTGGCAAATTCTCTTGCAATTTCAAGTTTCTCTAAAACCTGTAATGTTGACAAAACATTCTGCACTGACAAAAGCACTTGCGGTCGGGCGCGAAAGGCAGAGAAAGATGCTAACTAACGCAGGAAAAGTTTAACTTCTGGACATGCTAAAGGAAGGTACAGTAGAAGCTATGCGGCTGTAGGTCGCCATTACGGACTTAATGAATCTTCCGTTCGTTCCATAAAGAAGGAGGAAAATAACATAAGGACGACAGCAGCAATTAGTTTTAATAAGGATGCAAAAAGGGTTGCAACTGTCCGCAACAAGACCGTGGTAAGGATGGAGTCTGCATTAGCTTTGTGGATTAATGACTGCAGAAAAAAAAAACGCTGGATACGAACGTTATCTGCACAAGAGCTAAAAAAAACAACAACAAACGTTTATACAGTACTTTTATTTGTTAAACAAATGCTTGGGCCTGTAAAAAGGTTTTGTTCCTTGCTTTCAATGTTTTATGGAGCATTTCATTGTATAATAACTGTAAAAAAATAAAGGTTTCTACTTCACGGATTTCGCCTATCCAGGGTTCTTTTTGGAAAAACGAGGGTTCACTGTATACATTTGTTTTAGATTTAAAAATATATGTAAATGTAGATTTACATTATTTTAACAATTTTTGCTTTAAAACATCAGAAGGTGGCACATTAATATTCAAAGTTCTTACAGTGTTTATTTTAATGGCACCTTAATAGGTAGATGACATGAAGGGCTTTTGGGACCTTCTGAGAATCATTAAGAGGGATACGTATCTACGAAAGCCATCAGCCCCAAAGACAGGCTCTCTGTTATCGTACGTTTTTGTGAACAGGCAAGTTTATAAAATATACATTTCACTAAAGGTAGACATGAGCCACGGTCATTCATCCACGTCACATAATACATCAGTTCACCCAAGTAATGTACAACCAAAGCTACATCATCCTACTTTTATATCCGCTACACCGGCGGTGTATCTATATGTCCACCTACATACTATCACTACATTCTATTCTCCTAAAAAAGACTACAATCTGTCAATCTATCATGACTTATCCATGTCCACCCTTCTATACATTGTCGTGGAGATTTTTCTCTTGGTTGTTTGTTAAGGCTACCTGGTTGTTAATTCCTCTAGGGAGAGTCGTCTGGTACGTCTGGCGACTGTGGTTTCAGCACCAGTAGGAAATGCAACAATTTCCTTAATCCCATCAAGGATGAATCTCCCATTCCTGAGTTTATCATTGAAATTGTACAACTTGCCCTTTGTGCCATCCTCACACCTGAGAAGATTCTCCTTTTGATCAATCCACATGGGGGCCCCTTCCTGTCTCCTGAGAATATGAATAGCCCTGTCCCTTTGGAGATTCTCCATGGGACTTCCCGAGGACTGAATGTAAATCAGAATCTCTTTGTTTGTTGCTGATAAAAAACACAGTGGCCTTTTTCCATTCCTTTATCCATATTATGTTATATAAGTGAACGTGCCTTTCCATCGGTGCAAACTCACTTGGGTTTACTCTTTGACCTGCGTCTTCGAACGCTCTTGCCTTCGAATAAATCTCTGTATTGGACAAGATCGATTTTCTCTAATTATTAAGAAACTTTGCCTCACTGCTTTAAAAAACTTTTTCCATAACAACATAGAGCATCTAAATCTACCTGAGTATGTCTGACACTTTTTGGCTTTGAGAGGTTCAATTCAATTCAATTCAATTCAATTTTATTTATATAGCACCACATCACAACAACAGTTGTCTCACAGCGCTTTCCAAACAGAGCAGGTCAGACCCTACTCTGAAGTTAATTACAGAAACCCAACAATTCCCACCATGAGCAAGCACTAGGCGACACAGGCAAGGAAAAACTTCCTTTTAACAGGCAGAAACCTCGAGCAGGTGAGACCTTCAACTCATCGAGTTTCCAATGCAGGATTGGAAGCACAACCCTAAGCAGGATTGTGATGGGAACCTGTGCAGCCATTACCGCTGTGCTGTGTCAAGATTATTTGAAGGTACATTTAAAGGGAAATAGTTATGTTATTGATCGTCACATTGTCATACAATTGATAAGCTTAGTTGCACATTGTCAAATATGCTCCATTAGTTAATAGAACAATCAATTTTCACCAAAACAATTATCTTGCAGATTGTATCAGGTCTTTGTCAAATCTAAACAGTTTAGTGAAAGTTGTTTTCGAACACTAGAGATTTATTTCTTGCATCAATTTGTACTTGTGTTTCACAGATACCATCAATTGACTCAGAATGGAAGGCCATTGCCAGATGAATTTGAAACAAAATGGCAGTTTCCACATTACTTGGGGGCAATATATGGGAAACACGTTTTCATTCAACCTCCTGCCAAGAGTGGAAGCATCTTCTACAATTACAAATCAAGGTTTTCAATCAGTGGCACGGTGGTGTGGTGGTTAGCAACGTCACCTCCCAGCAAGAAGGTTCTGGGTTTGAGTCCCAGGGGACCCAGGACCTTTCTGGGTGGAGATTGCATGTTGTCTACTGTAAATGGAACTGCTGGTTAAACAGGAAACCCTAATTTCTAAGATCCCCATGGTACTAATGAAATACAACTGACCACATTACTGACAGAGAACATAAAAACAAACAACATAAAAACATGTGGTCATTTAATAACTACATCTTGTTTTTGAGGAACGTGATTAGTTTTTATTTATTCATTTATTTATTTTACTTTTTAACTTAGTTTATTGAACATTTTGAACATAAGACAGGCATTGTTGGGACAAATTCAAAGTGTCAATACATTCTCAATGTCACAGTTCTGTCAACCCCCAATCCACCCTGACCGCCCACCCCACCCACAGGCCAAAAAATAAATAAATTAACAAATGAATTGATTGAAAAAAATTATTATTATTTTTTTAATGATAATTAAATAAATAAAAAGTATAAAGAGAAAAACAGATCAAAAAAGGGTAGACATGAATGTAAATGTAGATAGATAAGTAGAGTTCATGTTAGACATTCAAGTATCCTCAAGGTCAAGAAGATTAAAAGAGTCAAAATATCTAAGAAAAGGGTCCCATGTATCCTGAAATAACTTGATGGAGCCTCTAAGAGAAAACCTCAATTTCTCTACTTTGAGGTTGTAAAGCACCTCTTGAATCCAGCGGGCATGTGAAGGGGGTTGAGAATCTTTCCAGTTAAGTGAGATCAACCTACGAGCTAAAAGCGTGGTTAATGCTACAGCCCGCTTCATTCCTTTAGGCAAGTTAGAAGAAGGGGGGGATGCCAAAGATTGCAGACATTGGATTGGAGACAACCAGAGAACCATATGCTTCAGACAGTGATTTAAAAATCCCTGTCCAGAATAGTTTCAACACGGGACATGACCAAAACATGTGTGAGTGATTGGCAGGTGAGAGTTTACATCTGCCACAGGCATCATTTACAAAAGAATACATTTTTGCTAGTCGTGAATTGGTATAATGAGCCCTGTAAACAACTTTGCATTGAATTACTCTATGGTGGGCACAGATGGAAGATGAATAAACTAAAGCCAGTGCAAATATACATTGTTGTTCCATAATTACAATGTTAAGACTCTCCTCCCAGGCTGTTTTAACTGTGTTTGCGGGTGTTGAGGTTTCTGACCAAATAAGCTTATAGAGTATCGAAATACATCCTCTAAGATTAGGATCAATTACGAGAAGAGAGTCTAATAAGGTTTCTGGAGGGCGATTCGGAAAGTAAGGGAACAACTTCTTAACATAGTCACGAACTTGGAAAAAACTGAAAAAGTTGTGTTTAGGAAGATGGTATTTGACAGACAACTGTCAAATACCATCAGAATAGATGTTTTCAGAATAGAGATCTACTATTGACTTGATACCACTATCATGCCAGATTTTATATGCTAAATCTTGGGACGGTTCAAACATACAGTTTTTGAACAATGATGTCAGGGCGGATGGATTTGAGAGGCCAAGCTGTTTCCTAACCTGATTCCATATTTTCAAAGAAGTGGATGCAACAGGGCAAGTAGTTAAACGTTGTAGAGGAAGTTGTGAGCACAAGACTGAACGAAGTGAGAATGGACAGGATTTCCTCTCCAACTGTTCCCAGACTGGCAAAGGGTCTTCCTCCTTCATCCAAAACAAACATTTCTGTGCATTTGCAGCCCAATAATGATATCTAAAAACTGGGAGGGCAAATCCTCCCTTCTCCTTGGGAGACTGTAAAACCGATCTGCGAATTCTAGCAGGCTTTCCAGCCCATAAAATTTTTTAAATCATTGTGTCCAATTTTACAAAAAATGACTTATTTAGAAAAAGTGGAAGATGTTGAAGTATAAAGAAATTTGGGAAGAACCACCATCTTCACTAAGCTTATTCGGCCAGCGAGCGATGGGTAAAGTTGACCAGCGAGCAAAATCAGCTTCTATCCTCTCCACTAAAGGAGTAAGGTTTAGTCCAGGGGTCACCAACCTTTTTGAAACGGAGGGCTACTTCATGGGTACTGAGTCACACGAAGGGCTACCAATTTGATACACTCTTCTGAAATAATACATTTCCTCAATATGCTTTTAGCTATACTTTATTAATAATCATTAGTGATACTCATTTGTGACAACAGTGACAATAAAATGGGAAACATATCAATATCCACCACTTTATCTCTGTTTATCTCAGCAACTGTTAACTTTTTAAATGATCACTTACTGTACATCACTACATTTACATAGGAGTTTTCAATTTCACTAGCCACTGACAAAACCTTTTAACAAATCATGAACCATGTTGCACCATGTTTCAAAAAGTTATCAATTATCTAAGGTTAAAGAAAAATCTACTCACATATTAAAAAGAAATCTGAAATCTCATGACCAAATCTTTAACAGATTGGCATTGCATGCTGTTCACCAGTGTATTGTAATCTGGTGTAACTTGACACTGCAACTGTGAGTGAGTGCATATTTCAGATGTGATTTTTCTGCCCGTTTCCGGTGGGTAGTTAGCATGCTAGCTTTTGTGACACGAACATTGTGCCGCTTCGCCGTCGCCACAGTTGCCCCGCAAATCAGACACACGCAGGTTTCTTTTACAGTCGTAAAAAAGAACTCCTCCTCCCATTCGTTTTCTCCCATGTTTTTGGGGTAAGAAACTACACCCATCTCCGTTGTGCCCGCTAGCTTACTCTCCACTGACACTGGTTTTGTTTTGTCACGTGCACAATACTGACCTTTGAACTAGAGAAAACTTAAACTTAATATATAATGAACATATTTTTAAGATATTGTCATTTTAAATCAAATCTATATGAATGCAAGTGTGATTAAAAAAGATTAGCAAAGGAACAAAATTACATTTTAGACGCTGCTCACTAGTGAGTTGTGCTATTTTTAGAACAGGCCTGCGGGCGACTCGGGTGGTCCGTGCGGGCAACCTGGTGCCCGCGGGCACCGTGTTGGTGACCCCTGGTTTAGTCTATATAGCTCAGAAAGAAATAGCACAATTTAAATACCCAAGTATCAGAAACCATTCTTAGACCAACGGAACGGTACTGTTGAGGGAGGGAGCTTTTTAGCGGCATCATTAATGGGCAAAAGTTTGCTTTTTTGGTAATTAAGTTTGTAGCCTGATATGGTGCCAAATTCATTAAGAATGTTTAGGATAGCGGGAAAAGAAGAAATAGGATCCGAAACATACTACAAAAGGTCATCTGCGTATAGCGAAACTTTATTGACTATATCAAATCTTGTTATGCCCTTAAAGGAGGCCTCTGCACGCAGCCAGAGGGCTAGGGGCTCGATCACTAAAATAAACGAGCGGAAACAGGGGACAGCCCTGTCTGGTACCACGGCTTAAAGGAAAGGAGGAAGAAAGAACATCATTAGTCCGTACTGAAGCTTTTGATGAAGAGTACAGAAGTGTTACCCAATCAATAAAGGTTTTGCCTAATCCAAATTGTGTCAATACCTTGTACAAAAAGCTCCATTCAACCCTGTCGAAGGCCTTCTCGGCGTTGAGGGACACAACGACTTCAGGAACTGTAGCATTAGGGGAAGTGATGATATTGAAAAGCCTCCTGGTGTTGCATGAGGACTGCCTCCTGGGCATAAAGCCCGTTTGATCTAGATCAATAATTGAGGATAGTATCTGCTGTAAGCGTAATGCCAACACTTTAGTTAGAACTTTAAAATCCACGTTCAACAAGGAAATGGGCTTATAGCTGCTACACAATAAAAGATCTTTATCCTTCTTAAGGAGCAACGAAATCGTAGCCTCCGACAGGGTACAAGGGAGCCGGCCAAGAGAGAAGGCCTTGTTGTACATCTCTTTAAGAAAAGGGCTAAGCAAAGTGGAGAAAGCTTTGTAATATTCAGTGGTAAATCCATCGGGTCCAGGGGATTTGGATCCTTGAAGACAACCTATGGCCTCCTGAACTTCTAATGTAGTAATTAGGGCACCAAGTCGATCTGCCCTCCTGGCCCTTCTCCAGGCTCGCTGGCATCTCAGGGCGGACAGGCGGGCAGAGGGGACCCGGGACTCCAGTTCCTGGGTAGAGAATACTGGAGGCTGAAAACCATATACCACAAAAAAGGGTGAGAGGCCGGTGGAAGCGGAGGGTGTGGCGTTCATAGCATGTTCCGCCCATGGCAGGTTCTGGGCCCACAGCTCAGCGAAGTTGGGAATAAACCGCCGGTAATAGCCGGCCAGCCCAAAAAACCGCTGCACCTCTTTTTTCATCTTGGGTCTTGGGCAGGCCGCAATCGCCGCCGTCTTGTCCACCTGTGGACGTACCTGCCCGCCACCCAAGTGGTACCCCAGATACCGTACCTCCCTCCGTCCAACCGCACACTTCTTCGGGTTGGCCGTGAGCCCCGCCTGCCGCAGGGATTCGAGCATCGCAGCCACCTGCCGCATATGCTCCGCCCAGGTGTTGCTGTGGATGATCACATCATCCAGGTAGGCGGCGGCAAATGCAGCAGGCGGCCGCAGCACCCGGTCCATGAGGCGCTGAAATGTGGCTGGGGCCCCGAACAACCCGAACGGAAGTGTGACGAATTGGTACAACCCGTACGGAGTGGAGAAGGCCGTTTTTTCCCTGGACTCTGGCGATAGGGGAACCTGCTAGTAGCCCTTGGTTAAATCCAGTGTCGTGAAAAAACGAGCCGTGGCCAGGCGATCCAGGAGTTCGTCGACCCGGGGCATAGGGTAGGCGTCAAACCGTGACACGTCGTTCACCTTGCGATAGTCCACACAGAACCGGATGGACCCATCCTTCTTTCCCACCAGAACGATGGGGCAGCACCAGGCACTGTTAGACTCTTCTATTACCCCCAACTCCAACATTGTTTTCAATTCAGCCTGGACCACTTTTCTTTTGTGCTCAGGCAACCGATAGGGCCGTGAACGCACTGCCACGCCCGGGTGAGTCTCAACCTTATGTTGAATAAGGCTTGTGCGTCCTGGCCGGGTGGAGAACACGTCAGCATACCGCTGTTGCAACCTAGCTATGTCTGTTTTCTGGGATGGTGAAAGATGGTTCTCATAGTGGAGCAAGGCAGGATTGGCCGACTTTGGGACCTCAGGCCCCAACTCATCTCTCTCCGCAATTGCCGTCACCAGTGACACAGACTCCCCCTCTCTCCAAGCTTTAAGGAGGCCGAGGTGATAAATCTGTGTAGCCCCTCCCCTGTCAGATCGCTCAAGCTCATAATCAACGTGACTTACTCCTCATGTGACCACAAAGGGCCCTTGCCACTTGGCGAGTAATTTAGAGCTGGACGTTGGGAGCAATACAAGGACTTTATCTCCCGGTGAGAATTGTCTTAACCTGGATCCTAAACCAGCCGCTGTTGACATTCCTGGGCCTGGAGCAAATTCTCTCGTGATAAATGCCCAAGTGTGTGGAGTTTTGCCCTCAGGTCCAGGACGTATTGAACTTCGTTTTTACTGGGGCTTGGACCTTCCTCCCAGCTTTCTTTAACCAGGTCCCCCACGTGGTTTCCTGCCAAACAGTAGCTCAAAGGGAGAAAATCCCGTGGAGGCCTGGGGTACCTCCCGCACTGCAAACAACAGAGGGTTCAGCCATTTGTCCCAATTATGATTATCATCGTGCACAAACTTACGGATCATGGACTTCAAAGTCTTATTCAGGCGCTCCACGAGGCCGTCAGTTTGAGGGTGGTAAACACTGGTCCGAATCGACTTGATGTCCAACAATCCGTAAAGCTCTCTCAGTGTCCGTGACATAAATTGAGTGCCTTGGTCAGTCAGGATCTCTTTCGGGATCCCGACTCGGGAGATGACCTGAAACAGTGCCTGCGCCACACTTTTTGCAGAGATGGTGCGCAGAGGCACTGCCTCCAAATTTTGGGTTGCGTAATCCACAAGGACTAACACAAACCGATATCCGCGTGCACTCTGGTGGAATGGCCCGATCAGGTCCATCCCGACCCGTTCAAACGGGACCTCCATCAGAGGTAGGGGCCGTAGAGGCGCCCTCGGGATGGCCGCTGGATTAACCAATTGACATTCAGGGCAGACCGCGCACCAGGGGCGCACGTCTGCCCGAATGCCTGGCCAATAAAATCGGGCCATTATCCGGTTTAGGGTCTTGTCATACCCCATGTGGCCAGCCATTGGGTTATAATGAGCCGTCTGGAAAACAATTTCCCGGCGGTTTTTAGGTACCAACTGTAGTATCAGGCTATCAGAGGATAGGAACCTTTGTGCTGTACTGTGTTCAGGGGGGGAAGGCAAATAAAGGAGTACCGGCTATAATGGAAAAGGTCTCACGCGTGCTTCTGTGTAGCCTCAAGACTTTATTAAACATACATATCGGAGATCAGAACATAGTGTCAGAAGTATAGACTACTTTTTCGAAAAGAGGGAGGAACAAGTGAGATCTGACGGCTCGAATAAAATACGAACGACAACGTCATGAACCAGTTTCAAGTCGCCCCGCCAGAAAAGTTTATGTT